TTTCCTTTGTCAATGAAAAATTTTAAGCCTCAGTCATCTCTGCTGTTTTTTATGCAAAAGTTATCAAGCGTTTTCAAAATATCAGCTTCTGAATGTGTTTAAAAAAAATATTTTTTCTATTTTTTAATTTGAGTTAGATAAATCACTGAGAGCTAATTCTGTAAAGTTTTCTAAAAAGAATTGATTATAGTTCTGTATAGATGATTTGTAATGCTTTATCAATTATGTGTAGATTAAATTAAATACCAGCCAAACTGATTTTGCTTTAGGTAATTTACAAACTAAACAAAGAGGGAAAAATCATCAAACTTTTATTAATCTTTGTCAACTCGCGATGCCAAACTTAGTTCTAAACTGACCTGATACGTAATCTTCCAGTTGAAACAGCGAAAAATAAATAGGAGTCTCAGTGTGGTCTTTAGTACTAAAAAAGTTTGAGACAGAAAATTTGGATTTCACTTTTTAAAATGCAATTTTCCTGGAGTTGCAAAGGATACAAAGAAGAGCAAGAGAACAAGGAAATTTGGGTCCTGAAGACTATCTCGCAACTTATTGAAATCTGTCATAGAAATAGGTTACGGAATCTCAATAATTTTCCTATTAAGGAAAATACTGATACAAGTCAAAGCTCATAATGAATTTATTACTTCATTATAAGCTTTGACATATATCAGTTTCCTGCTTGACTTTATGCAGTTTCTTGCTTGAACAGTAATGTTAAAAAGGGAGTAAAATATATGAATACGTAATTAAACTATATGAAGATTTTCTAAAAGTAGCGAGGAAAGGAAAATAACGTATTATGCAGATGATAGCAGGAGTGATAAGAAATGAGCAACACCTTCGCCGGGAGTCGAACCGCGGACCTCTGGAATATGCTCCCAGCGTGCAGACCACTACATCACGAAGGCACGCTAAGAAGGCGGTAGAAATACCTTACATACTCCCCCTTTTAAAGGGCAACTGGGGTTTTAGGCGACCCAATCGCCAAATTCTGGTCGTGAAGAATCATCATTCACCACCATTTAGTTCGGGCACCACTGTAGATATACCTTATATATTATTTCAGGAATGCACAATTTTTCCTTAATCTTGAATTTAATAATTTTTCCTTGGGTTTGAATACTTGAAGATCAGCAATGAATGGAATCTTTCGACCATGCGCGGGTTATATATTAAGTTTTGTAAAACATATATTTTGAATGCTTTTGTTAATAACTAATATATTTTATTTAAGATTAATACATGTTTGATAACATTGACTGCATAAAGATGATCACAAAAATTTCCAAAACAATTATGTTTTACAATTTTATTTATCAACAATACAGATATGTAGCTATGTACAGCATGATGTTTTCTTTTTATAAAAAAGAGATCAACCAATACACTAAATTTCATTGGTATCTTTGCTCATTATTAAATCTTGGCTTCTTTATAAATAGGAACTAAGAATTACAGATTTTGAGAAATTAATTGCACATACTTTCAGAAAAAAGATAAAAAATATAAAAAAAAGGCCATAATCGTTCAATGTAATTCTTACGTAATCTGTGAATAAAAAATAGTTGAAAATTTTTAATGTAGATTGGACACAATGGTTTTAACTTAAATACCTCTTTTTTATTGTAGTAATAAATTTAGTTTCAATTAGCAGTTTAACTGTATCAAAGACAGAATTCAGTATGTTTTTATGGTTTTAATGTAGATAATTTTAATAAATAATTTTGATGAAGAAATTTACTTAAAGATTATTGTATAATAATTTTGTATTCATTATCAATCTGCCCTCATTAAAATTTCTTTGATATAATAAATGATTTTTAAAAATCAGATTGAAAATTTGACCTTTTCAGTAAATGGTTAAAAGCAAATATATATGTCAGAGTTGAAAGAAAGTCTTTAAAACTCTAACTCATCGCTTCAACGAAGCAGAAATAGTAAGCATTTCTTACAGAGGTTACAAAAAAGTAATAATCCATCAAACGTACCGAGAATTTTATGAATGATTCATTCAGAATTTCAATTTCTTAATTTAGCTATTTTTAACAAATAGTCTAAAAATTTACGAGCTAAAAATAATAAAATTTCATTGAAATTGTTGCAAATATTAACTAAACAGAAAAAATAAGTTCACTTCAAATTGTAGCAAAATAACATTATGAAAGTAATTCAGTATTATAAAAAATAATAACAGTAAACTTAAAAATGAACAAGAGATCATTCATTAAATAAAGTATGAACATGCTTGTTTGGCTTCTTCTCTGAGTTTCAATTGTACAACAGTTTACTATGAACCCAGACTGTGACTAACAAATAAGAAAATAAATATTAAATTAAGTTCATTGGTAAAATAATGGATCACAAATATTTTGATAAAAACAATAACACAAAAGTTCAGTGATTAATACATTTGGACGAACAACAAAAACGGCACACACAACTTTCAGTTGCCTACAAAAACGGATACACTTTCTTGGATTTTATTCTAATACTGTTCTCTAGTGAAAAATGGATAGCTTGATTCTGTATCTTACCAGAATGACATGGTTTGTGTTAAAGAGAAATTAATCTGCAGATGCGTTTATCGGAAAGGAAGAAGGAATTAAAAATTAATTTTGACAAAAGCTTCATTAGCTTCTATTTGCCCATACGTTTTATTTCTTAATTTAAACACACTAATTACGTATTAAAATTTAGTGTCATAAATGAAGTGATGTGATTCAGAGGAAAAATGCTTTGTTTCAGTCACATAACAACATACTATATACAGTGAGTCAAAAAAGTATTGAGGCAGAACAAGATTCCAGACATTTTTTGAAAGAAAAATTAAATATTTAATTTAAACGAAATATTTTTATTATTTTCCGTATAACAGAGCTGAATAAAACCGGGAAACCTTAGAGTTAATTAGAAATAAAGTTAAATAAATATTAAATTATACATTTTTCGTGTACGAACGAGAGAAAAAAATTTATTGGAGCACAGAAACATAAAAAAATATTCTGTAAAAATTGCTTTAATAATGTACTGGGTCTTTTCATGAATTCGTTGAGTCTTCTAGGCATAGATTTTATTAAGATTCTTTTGAGATATGCATCTATTTTTTTCCATTTCGTGGTGAATTTTTCCCAAAGTATATTACTGTTTGATAATCTGACGTTATTAATTTTCTCTTGCAAATGATCCGAAATATGTCGAATAGGATTGAAATCTGGATTATGCTTTGTATCATCGTCTCTGCATTAGTAGATTCTGTAAATATTCATTGGGGTTTTACGAGTTCGCTGGCTTGTAAGTAAGATTTCTAAGATTGTAAGGATTGTTAAGTAATATTTTTAACCATCGACTTTCCTCTGCGTTCCGAGAATTCTCTTAAATACCGTATTCGTGGATTGTGTTTAAGCAAATTTATTTTACAGTATTTTGTAATCAAACTGAGCAATAGATTTTATTTTAGATTCAATAGCTCAACTATTTTTTATTTTTTAGATTTTTGTCGATTTCAATGAAAAATTACACTCTTGCTCGCTTCAAAAGAAATCTTAACTTCTGTTCCCCATATTAACAACGTAGCTCCTAAGCATTAAACTGCACCTTTTCTTCATTCAGGTATTAAAATTCTTCATTCAGGTGTTTTACGAAAAAAAGCTCTTTAGCTTTTACGAATTGGCTCTTTTACACCTCAGCGTCCTAGTACTTTTTTATCTTAATTTCGTATTTAAGGGCAAGGTACTTAAAATATCTAATTTATTCATTAGTGCTGTCTATTATTATTTTTTGTAACATATTTAGCGTTGTATTTAGGCTCAGAAAGCAATGAAAAATGCTTAGTTTTGGAATAAAGGCTGAATTTTCATAACCAAATTTTTAAAATTTCTTCTGCCCCAATATTTTTTGAGCCACTATATCCAGGAACAGTAGTTTAGTTGGAAGAAAATTCTGTTTAACGTAATAATAATGTCATAACCTTCCTTAGGACCAAAAGAAAAGTAAATCTTCCTTTTTATTTTCGTGAGAAGAACAAGAATTTAATTTGTCCATAAATTAAATTTTGTTATGTAAATAAGAAAAAGAAACGTATGTATAGACTGAAGATAATTGTAATTGATGATTACTTTATTGTTTTGTTTATATCTCTCTAATTTCTCTTAATTTTTGCTTTTAAGTAAGCTTATTATTAATGTTGATTAATTAACAATACAACGCATTTCATAAAGACTCTTTCCCTGAAATTTTTTATGAACACTCTCAATATAATGTAAAGCATTAAATGAAAGCTGTTAGAAACGTCGTGTTAGCTGTTAGAAACGTCGGCTGCTCTAAGGATAGCAAAAATATGCGCCACTTAGGAGAAATGTAGTAAAACGCTATTTATTATAATATATATATAATAAAACAAACTGGGTTTCCCGATAGATTTGGATATAAAACAGGAAGCAATGAGATAAAAAAATAAAGTTTATGAAAAGGTGAAATTGAAGAAACATGCAATATCTTCAAAACTTCATAAAATTTTAAATGAACTAAATTGGTCACTCTTTCAGTGATTATAATAAATTATATTCTTATTTGTAAATAAATTAATTTCAATTAATTTAATGCAAGAAAATTCCCTTTTGAAATAAGTTTTAACTCATAGAAAGAAACGATCATAAAAGTGCAGTTATAAAAGAAGAATTAAACAAAAATCTAAAGTAATGAAAAGCAACAGGGAATTAAAAGAATAACTAATAAACAAATGGCGAAAAGATTCATAATAAAAGTAAAAGCCATGGCTAATCAAACAGAAAAAACAGGAAATAAAAACTTTGCAATACACAAATTGTTTCAAAAGTTTAAAGTTTATCTTAAAGGCGAAAAGAAAGAGCGATAAATTTTGATAAACTACCCCATAAAGGCAATTTTGTTATATTATATATTTAATTTTATTAAATATTTATTTACTCAAACATTATGTAATAACAGCAATATATTGAATAGTAGAACGCAGGAAAAAATAGTGGTTTGTTAATAACTAAAGGTTAAAACCTAAAAGTTTAGCTTTGCAAAATGTACCAATTCCAAAATTTATAATCTTAGTTCTTAAATTAACCTAACAAAATACTTCTTTTTTAACATTCAAAATAAATGAAAATAATTGGACATAAAAGTTTTGAATAAACGAGTAAACTTAACCATACGAATAGTAAAAGCTATCAAATGCTGTAAAATAACTATAACAGTTAATTAAACATGCCAGAAAAATAGAACTGAAAAAGAAATAAGGAAATTCATAACAGAAAAAATTACGTTAAACTGAAAACTTAGCACAAGAACTTATTAAAGTGAATAAAATTGTTCCATTAGGAAGATAATAAAGTGATATAAAAAGTAATTCTATCCCCAATGCCTCTTGTTAAGAGCTAAACTATTAATTTGAAGTGAATAATAAAATATTTATTTATATAATGAACTAAAGCAAAGGCTAAATAAACTTTATTCATAGGATAATGAAGATAAATTGCTACGTTGGTTGTAAAGTTAGAATAAAATAATTTAAAACTATTGATATAAGATAAAGAAAAATAAAAATAAAAAAATAATAGAGATATAATTTTAATGCCTCGGGAAATGGGAGAAAAAGCTCAGCCCCTACAAGGATTGCTTTAGTATTAAAAAAAAGAACATTAATAAGAAAAGAGATGGAAATATTAATAAACGTTCAAACTAAGAAAGTAAAATTAGCATAGTTCTTATATCGAAAACATTCACTCGTTGCTTCATAACTAGTGAATAAATGCTCATAGTCCCATTAATTGCAATTTTTTAATTGTTTTCAAAAATCGTTTTAGCATGTGTAAATTTCTGGGCGTCATACTATATGTTTTATATTCAAGCTACTATATTACTGTTCATAACAAAATAAAAGTAGAAAGGGAGAAGCTATTTTTAATTCATATGAGAAAGAAATTCAGAACTTTATGAAAGGAATTTGTATTTCATGTTCTTAATGCCTTTACTGCTCAGTCATCTATAATATTTATATTTGCACTAATTAAAGAAACAATCTTTAGCATCTCATGAGTAATTACCTTAAGATAGTACAGTATGTTTACCGCAAGCTTACTTCGTAGTAGTTTTGTTCCCACGAAATGAAATAAAATTCGATTCCTTTCATACAATTTTCACTACCAGAATGGCTAACCAAGAAAAAAATCATTTAACCGGGGACAATAACATCCCTTATTGCAGCATTTGCAATATCCATATCTTCTCTGGCATGACACTTCCCTTATGGCACAACTTTAACAAGAACAACAGAAAGCTGGCAATGTCTCAAGATATGTGTGCTTCGTGGGTGGCAGAGAACGAGATTTGTTTTTGCTAGGTAGCAAATCCAATCATTGCCAGTGTTTGTAATTTAAGGAGTTGTCCAGTTGTTGAAAATGGCACTGTGTCCTCTTGCAGAGGGACCTGCTGAGGGTTGACTCACTGCTTGATGGGACTGAGGCACCTGCAGACGCAGCAGGATGGAAAGAGGAACCAGTCCATGAAGATTCCTTTACAGTCGTCATCAGGGTCATAAGCCAGCAGTCGATGCCACTTATATTTCTGCTCGCAGTTGCATTCCCCGTTGCATTTCTTTGTCTGGACAGCCCTGAAAATGAAAATGATTACTCATGTTGTTAACACAGAAAAATGAATATGTTTCAAACAAGCTTTCCTACTGTCCACATATTGTACGTCGGAGAATTTAGTCGGAATTGTTACCTTATTTTACGTGATAATAAGTACACAAAAGACGAGTACAGTATTGAGAAAGGAAAATTATTCAGCGTATTTAACTAAACCAAATTACAGATAAAACTATTTATCATTATATTTTGGTTTCGTAGATACAGCGATGCTTTACATATCGAAGGTTCTGGCAATCCTGCGTCGAGCTTATCGATCAATGCCATATTGCTGATTACACATTTGTCCGCATTTTGGAGTAATTCTCATTGTTGTTCATTAATGCTGCACAAAAATTAAGCTAAATGCTTTATTTCTAACAGCTAAATGTCTAATACAATATTACAATTATTTAAGACTTGTTACTTAAGACTATATTTCAATTTTGTCTATTGTTAAAACTGCATATCTCATCAATGTCACTTTCTTCGGAATTTCGCAAATATTTTTATGAATTACATGCATTTTATATACACATTATTAATTCTTCAAACTCTGAAATGTTCTAAAGAGTTATTGCATTGAAAATGAGCTGCCAACAGCAGTTTCAAAATTTCTCTCTAAATAAATGTTCTAATGAAAATGAGTAATATTTTTACAACTTAAAGCAACTAAAGGGGGGGGGACCAAAAGGGAAAAAGTGTGATTTATTTTACTGCAACAGTTTCTAGAGAGGAACCTGATGCAATATTTCGAAATATGCGTTTCATATTTGCGAGCAGATACATAGCACTTATTCTCGGTTGTTTATTCGAATATGACAAAACATGCGAGTCTTAGGTATAACTTAGTACCAACAGCACCGTTTACGTTCCATGTGCTAAATCTAATGTTCTTACATTGTTTTGATGTTTTCATTCACATTCAGGTAAGTAAATTATCACCAGCTGTTAAAAGAAGAATGATGTTGGCGAGTTGCACAGCAAACGCTGCAATTGCTGAGAGAGGTTTACTACCAAACCTATTTTCTTTTTTAACGTTTTCTGAAATTTCTTTATATACTTATATACAAAGCCATTATCAAAGCATTCAACATTGTATCTAGAAAAACTCTGCTTATGTTACGTTCAAAATAATGAACTTTATTATTAGCTCAAATGGGCGATTATTACCGAAATGCAAATTTACATGGTCCACTATAAATGCGTATTTCACTTTTTATTCGAGTCTTTTGCTATTAAGAAAAAACGTTAAGATATTATTTTTTTTCATATTTAATCTGTCTACCACTGATAAAAAATTAAACTATTTAAAAGCAGTATACGCAGTTCTTAAAAAATATTATTTTTTCACATTTTAATCTTATTGATTTAAATAATAATGAATTTAATTCATGATATAGTTCAATAAAACATTAAATAGTTTTACAGAATTAATTACAGTACATATTTTTCACGTTTTAAATATACAGAGAGGTATATAGCATTTTCATGTGTATAAAAATTATATATAAAAATTTTATACACATACAATACACAATTGTACATTATATGCATTACTATATTTAACACTTCATGTTGCTTAGATATTAACTCAACCGCCTTGGCTATCTGGCTATTTTTCAGAGTTAAAATGCTGAAAGTTAATTATCGAGTACAAGTTGGCATTTTTAGAGCCTTTTTTTAGGAAGATTCCCAAACTATTGATAATTATCGTATGTAGGTAAATACTATCAACATATAAAAAGAAAGCATAACTTTAGCAATTTAAAATACAAATTTGAGTTGTTAAATAAGGATTACGCCATACATTAAAAAAATGAAACACGTTCTTCTTCAAATCTTTCTGCAACTTTTTTGCTCTGTTATTCTACCGAAGTACATAGGAATCAGTTTCGCTTAAATAACAGAGAATTGAGAGGAACACAGCTTCGTGCAATCCTCGGCGACAGCGGCTATTGAGAAAACGCATTTCCTCGATGTTCCATTTCGAAAATTTTCAGCTAAATTCTACATTCCTGCAGAAATTTTACAGCAGTTTCTTCCATTGCTGGCAAATTCCACAAACTCATACTTAAAACTAAGTTTAAAGCAAAAAAAGTAAGACGATCTGTTTATAATAACCGTTGGAACTTGGAATACAACAATAAAGAACTCATATGAAAATGACTTTAAAGGATTATTATGAGCATGGTTGGCGGTTAGGTTAGGTTATTTCATTACGGCAAAGCCGCGAGGGCTATCTGCCTAAGGGAAGGGATGCCTTCGTGGAGGACTTTCTAAGGGAAACTGGCTCGTATACACGTTACACATGGGCAAAACCACGAAAACACCCATGCAGCCAGACAGTTCACGGGATTCGAACCTCGGACCGAACTACCAGTGTTCAGCGACTTTACCGCTCGCCCGCTGCATGGTTGGCGGAAGAATGGTTATGCACCGTGGTTGTCAGAGTGGTGGGCCCATTCTGAAAATTTGGCGACTTCTACTGAGGTGTTGCGTTAATACGTAAGTACCAAATATGCATATTTACCTAATATATTATAAAATGCTTCGCTACACCGCCTGAGCTATCTCTATTAATAATCTCTGCAGAGAAAGCGTATGAAACTTTAAAAGAGTTGTAGGCGAAAGTTTCTAAAATCTAGCCCTTTCAGATTTATTTTTTTGTTTGTTTGTTTTGTTTCGTTAATGCTGTTTTTTCTCCTGAAATTGTATGCAACATGTGATGCTTTTATCTAGCTTTTCCTTTACAACATGTTCCAAAGATTACTACTTTGTTTTTGCACATCATTTATACTCTTTCAAGCTCTTCCTAAGTGCAATTTATCATTTAGCAGCCGTTTCAACATATGAAATGATGTGAATGAGTTATATGCAAATACGTAAGCAAGGATTTATGAATGTATGTATATGCCACAAAAATGCGGCAGATAATTAGTTAATTTTCGGTGCAGTATGAAATTACTGAATGCTTTAATAAGTTTTTAAATTCTTAATTTATCAAATCTTTGCTAAATATTATTCCAAATTACCTTCGCATTAATCGAATGTATATCAGAAACCTTAATGTGCTAAAGAAGGCGAGAGGCGAGAACAGAACTTCTTTAAAATAGCGTCAAACTTTCTAGTTACACTCATTCATTTCATAGATATTTTCCTCTTTATTTAATAACTGGTTTACCTACATGCAGTGACTAGCTATGAAATGTTTTCGCACTTTATCTTATGAAAATTAAGAAAATAACACAGTTAGAAGTTAGAATCTAATATTTATTAGATTCTGTGTTATTTTTTGCAAAAGCAAAAAATACAAAATAAAGTCTGAAAAGTTTCAAATTTTAACTTTCTCCCAAAAAGGGATTGTTAATTTTTTTTACGCTCTCAGCACTCTAGCCTCTACTCTTGCAGTATCGTTTTCTGCGTACATAAGTTACATACAATTCAACAATAAAATCACAAAATTTTTAAAAGTTACTTAGTAGCATATGTTTAGAATTACATCAGTTAGTCAGTGTTAATTGTTTGCAGACATTTTATATATTTTTCGGTCTTTTTCCAATTCGTCACATTAATTTTTAGTTTTCTTAGTAAGATGGTTAGTAAAAATTTTGACGTATTTTTTATTATTAGCTTTTTATATGTTAACTTTATTCAATAACTATCATTTTCGCACTTACGTCACGTAAAATTCAATTCAACAGCAAAATCACAAAATATTTAAAAGCAATATATCTTTTAGATTACTGATAGAGTGTTAGAGGTTGCCCAGCATATTTCTTCATTGATTAAAGTATTGTACGTTTCTTTATTTGTTTGGTAGGTTATTGGTATACTTTCTTTATTGGTAAAGAAAATAGTTATCGTAAAAAAGAAAAAGTGAAAAATGATTTTAATGAGTTTAGTTGGTGTGAGTTCATAAAGCTGTTGAATATTTCTAATTAAACATCTCATAATTTTAATAAATGTTTATTTAAATCAATAACATTAAATTGTCGGGAAAAAATTCTTAAAAACTGTGTTTATTGCTTTTAAATCGTTTAATCTATTACTCACTAACCATCCAGATAAAACTTGAAAGTACCTTAAGTTTTACTGAATGGCAACACGTAGGCGCATGGAAGATAAAAGAATTTTATTTCCGGCCCGGCAGCACATTGCTTTCATAGCAGAGTTTGTTAATTAAAATTTTCCGAATGACATGTGTCTCGCGAACTGGAGATAAAAAGGTTTTATTTCGAAGAGCGTTGCCACTGCTCGCTTTCAAATTGTTGAATTTGTTAATCAAAAATTCATTAAAGTTTTGTAAAATATGCCATAAATACTAAAACAAATTCAAAATTCGGGTTTCCAAGTGCACATGCTCGGATGAAGGACTACGTTATTCAAAATTTGATGCCTCCAAGTATCGTCGTTTTCCACACTGCGAGGAACACAGATACTCGCATGTTGAATCTTCATTATTTAACTCCAAAAATAATACTGGGCGATCATATTTGGTGGCAACAATTTCAAAAATCATATACCGTTTATAGCGAACCAAAGCAAAATTTTATTTCGAGACTTTTAACGAGAGAAATTAAAAAAAAAAAAAAAAAAAAAGTGCCAACATAAATTTTTGAATTTTTCCGTAAATTTCGCACCAAATTTTACAAAAGAAGATGTGAAATGTTTCAAATTTTAAATTATGTCCAAAGAGGCGTTTTTTTTTTTTTTTTTTAACATTTTGTGTGTTACCTTTATTTATTAAATATCCTATTCTTCCCACTTAAACCATATAATTCAGTTCAAGAGCAATATCGCAAGATAATCTTAAAATGAGCATATCTTTAGAATTTCCGATACACAGTCTCGCGCGCTGATGATAAGAACGTTTTTCCTGTGCAATGTTGCCATATCGCTTTGAAATTCTCGCTTTCAAATCCATGAGTTTGTTAATCAAAAATTCTTTAAAGTTTTGCAAAATATGAAATCGATAATAAAA